CGCGCCGCTGGGGGAGGGGTGCCCGCCCTTTCCGCGCAGCCCCGGCTCTCCCCCGCCCCAGCTCGGACGCCCAGGGCCGCTGGCCTGCGCCCCCGCTGTTCCCCGCACATGGCCATCCCCCTTGCCCAGGACTCAAAGTGGAGCACTCCGTACACAAAGGCGACGCGCACTCTCCGTTCACACCTGTACCCTAGGCGACAGATGGTGGATCTCGATTCGAATTCACGGAAGAGCCATGGAGCCACACAGGGGCACCACACACCTGCACAGAACGCGCCCGTGTGCTGGAAACCGGTCTGATCCGCATGTGGGTCAGAGCCAGGTGCATCCCCAACAGCCTCCCTCAGCCTTGGGCCCTGACGACCGCACTACCACGGCCAGGCAGGACAGGCCCACACACCTGGGCACGGCCCACACATCCCCAGAAACTCACACTGGCCTCCCGGGGAGGGCCTTGCCTGATAGAGGGCCCTCTGCAGGGCAGCAAAGTGCTTCCTGACCCTGAGTCATCCCTGTCCCTACGCCCAGCCCACCCAGCCTGTCCTGTGTCCTATACCGGGGACCATCCTGGAGGGTTCCAGTTCTGTCCCTGTGTGCCTCACCCCAATAGGGAAAGGTCTGGCACTTCACGCCCCACCACAGTGCCCTCCAGGTGCTTCCAAGCAGGATGTCCCGGACCTGCTTCCTCAAATTCCAGGTGACGCCAGTCCTTCCCAGACGCTGGGGGCCTGGGGGTGAGCAAGGCTGCCTCACACCAGCTCCCACTCCCCACAGGGGGCTCTGTCTAGTCCTGCCACCCACAGCCCATCTGTCCATCCCTTTCGCCCTCTGACTGGGTATGCTCCAGCCACTTTTGTTTTTTCTTTTTTAGAGAGAGATTTTTGCTACAGGGCGCTGTGCTCGCTGGAGAGACAGAGAGACAGAAAGCGAGAAATCACCCCCCAGGGGGATGGTCACGCTGCAATCCCTTCTCCTCCATTCTCCTCTTGGGATCATGGGCATGCACGCACATGTGTCTGGCATGAGTTTTAAGCCACCAGGTCTGGGACTCGAACCTTTGCCAGTCATGTGGGAGCCCAGTGATGTGATCACGACGCCATCTGCTGGCCCTGCAACTTTTGTTTTAACTTCTAGAAACAGACCATTCTCTCTCTTGCAGCAGGTCCTGGGCTCAGGCCTTTCCCCTCTTAGGAATATTCTTCCTTTTCCTGGGAAGACCGGTCTCTGCAAATGGCA